ATAACTGCATTTGGTTAATAGGATAAATTAGGATAGATAGTTATAACAGTACTTATTTTTTCTTATTTTTTAACTATTTATAATTTGAAATAATTGTAACTGCATTGTCCCTTTCGGATAAATAGGGCCACGTGGTTATTTTCTATTTTCGTTTATTTAAAATTCAATCAAAAGCGAGATTTATAAAGATTTAAATATAAAGAGCACTTCGATAGTTAAGGTTTAAAATTATAATTAAAGTTTTACAATTTACATCCAAAATTAAAAACCTAGATTAAGATTTTAACAAAAATTTTAAAATATGATCAGCAGCTACCTTTCTCATAGAGTTCCAGAACGAAAAGGAAGCAGCGGGCTCGCGCAGCTCCTTATATATAGTGTTCTAAATATAGCTCTCAGACTGAGCATGCGTATTGATACGCAGTACAACTGGTCGATAGATTAAGACATGTGTCATTCATGTAAAATAAAAGAGTTTAATCTTGAATGATTAAACTTTGATATTATAAGCGTTACTATAGTCCTTATTAATGACATGCAGGTTTATTTTCTGATTTTGTACATCATTCTTTCACCGGAAGTGTTACTTAACATGCGTCTGCTAGCAATAGTTTGAATTATGTAGACGCTCATTAAAAGCGCTCTGATATCTATATTTAGCTCAAAAGGATTTCAAAATGGCGGCGCCCAGTTAACTAAGGATTTTTCACAGCTCATTAAGTATAGGATATATAATTTTTGAAATTTTCATTTAGTTTTAATTTGATTTCATTTGAATTGATATTCAATATTGAATTGATTGCATTATACATGTCATCTATAAGCGATACAGCCCTCCCGCTCGGACTTTCCGCGTACTATCATCATATTCTTATGATTCTTTTTCCATATTTTCTAAGATACGATATGCAAATAAACCAGTTTTAGTTCGCCCGAGTATCTTTTTTAAAGATACTTCTTGTTTCCTGTATTAAGTATCTTACATGCCCATCTACAGAAACACAACTCATGTTTGCCCTTTCTTTTGAATTAAACCTTCTATCGTTTCTGAAAAACGATAAAAATAAAGAATATCAATAATATACACATAACACGAAAACAAGATAGTGAAACGTTGAAATAACGAAACCACGGTGGTGGAAAGTGAAAGGTACGATGATAAAAAATCGAATGTACAATGGTGAAAAGTCGAAATTTGTTTCTGTTTTCATCATCGTACACTTGACCGTTCACTATCGCTGTTTCGTTATTTCGACTTTTCACCATCCTACTTTCGACTTTTCATCATCGTGTTTTGACTTTTCACTATTTCGACTTTTCACCATATTATTTTCGTGATTTTGTTGTTTGAAGTTGAAGCTATGTGCGGGCCACGATGCACCTACCGGTACACCGTAATACTAAATACTGCCACAGCAAAAGTCGTAACTGTTTTTAAGCAGACGATTTATGATCTGACGGGATAAAAACATATAAAAATTAAAAGCTCACCTGTCATACTTAATTGAAAGAATATAAAATATAAAATACTTTAACAAGGCCACCCGTTTCTATATTCATGAAATAATATGATACAAATATCATTGGCAAATAGTCAAGTTGACTGGGTATAAAAGTATAAAAAGTCGAGTAAAATTCAAGAAAAAAATGAAAAAGAGGTGATCCCTTGTTAACAACGGAAACACAAATAAAATTTGAAAACTTGCAGACTCATAGGAAAGGGTTTATTGAGGATATAATATAAAAGTGCAACATCTCTCACGCTCCCCAGCACCGGATCTCCAACACTAACGGGCCATATGTCATGGATGATTAAACAGTTTATATATTGCAGGTTTTAGGGCATGTAAGTTGTTAGAGAAGAAGCCCTTTATCACCAAAGGAAGCAATTTGAATCAAAACGATAAATCAAATAACCTGACGTTTTGCGTTACCTAGCCATTCCAGTTCATTTTAAAAACTGATTTTTAAAGGCTAAATTAGACTTAGTTTATCATCAAGCACATGTTGAATGTATTTAGTTCATTTAGCGTTGTTTCATTTTAATGGAATATCTTATGATGCAAGTAGGTCGATAATAACGCCAAAGCTTTTCTGTAATAAATGGTAAGTATAATGTCAAAATTGAACTATATGGTTTAACTTATGCTTAGCGTAGATACACTCTTTGCCAAACTGTACCTTTTATGTTCTTGCATAAAACCTTTAACAAAAACAAAAATGAAATGTGTTGCCTTTTTTTTTTATTTCTATTCATGTATGTCAATTTTTGCTTTTGTTAAATTACCAGATTATAATTGTATGATGCTGATAATTTTGAAATGTTAGTGATGTCATTTTGTAAGTTAAGAGATGTCATCAAACAAAACAAAACTAAGAGCTCTAGATTAATACAAGATCGGGGGGTTTAATTCTTTATATCTTTGATATACCTTGTTGCATATCAAATGCATTGATGAAAGATATCTGGTGGACCATAAAAGCCATTTACAGCGAGAGTACTGCATAATTACATTCATACTTCTTGTTCTTTTCTATTTGGCTCAAAGAACATTTATTACTTAGTCAGACCAACTGTTAATGAAGTTGTTTGTTTGCCTGCTTTTGACGCCGAACCTAAATAATTTTAATCATATCTCGGCGGTCCGTCCAACTAACAGGCTAATTTTAACCATTTTCTGCAAGTGACCGCCTAATTCCACATCAGTAAGCGGTGAAAGACAAATGACAATTTGACCATTTGACGCAAGGTTTTAGGTAAAATGTCGCCTCGCCCGAGGATCGAAGTAGCATTACCTTGAAACCATTCACTATATTATTATTAAGCTTAAAAGGCGGCTCTTTAAACATAAAAAGAAATGGCATAAAATGTTTATATTACCCATGGAGTCTGTGATGTGTAGTTTGAGTATACAAATGGCTTATCAACAACTCAGCAAGGAAACATCTTGTTCAAAAAATGCGAAATACTCATGGCAACAAACCCAGTTAAATACAAGTTTACAAGGTGCTTTTTTATTCAACAAGAATGGCGTAGCACATTTAATCACGAAATGAATAGATCTATACAACAAAACAAACGAAAAGTTTTAACAGTTGATTGTCTTACCATGGTGCTATTCTGATTTAATTATTATTTTAACACACACATTTAAAACACATCTTTTTCGACTGTGATGAAAGGTTTTTTTTGTTTAACAATTCGGGAAGTATTCTTCCTTAAACTCACCAGATCTGGTTTCATATGAGGAGACATGGTTTTGACCCCAGTAGGCTTAAACCAATTGTCCATATGTTCTGAGACAAATACCTTAAACACTACACCAAAACCTTCACTTATTTGTTAGTTGTGGTATCAACAAACCTAAATGGCTTTCTTGTCTTTATTTCAATTGATAACAATGTCTACAGTAATTCAGTTTAACTTATATTTCTCGAGGAACATACCGCTATCTGAGAATATCTAAAAGCGTTTTAAATTGCAAAATACCATGTTTTAATGGTTATTTGTTTCAATTAACTCGGGGTTTGATAAAGAAACTTCCATCGCTGATTCGAATATAAAGATAAGAACTTTTCAAATATAAAACATTCTTACTTGCCATGAATTATATCAAGATACACTTGAAATATGCAAAGAGTAGTTTGATGTGCGTGAGTACATGTGATTTATACAAACTATCATCATGATTTATACAAACTATCAACATGATTTATACAGGCTATCAACATGATTTATACAAGATATCTATACATTCATTTCAACATATGTTAAAGTCTTGAGAATTGTTTAAAGCTGTGATAAGATAATCATTAAAAATCAATTTTGAAACCCTCACGATGATGCAATCACGGTATTTCAAAATAGAAATCTATCTGAAAGTAACCATGCATGTCATGGAGTTGTTTTTAAAATATGGTAAACAAGATCAACAAGGAAAGGCGGCTTTCAATGAACGCAACCCACACACGAGCCAGCAATAAGGGCCAGCGACCAGGAGCCCAGGAGCACCCCAAACAAACAGGACAAGACACAAGGCAGAGCACAGATAGGATGATCACCTAATTATTGGCATAAATCTGTTAAATGTTTTGCCGCGTGTGGTTTTCATTTTTTTTCTTCAAAAATTATATTGGGTTTAATTATCAATGAATTTGATTATACATGTTTCTGCTAATCCCGTTTTTAGGATAATCTGTGTCGATCATAATAACCGCATTTAAGCAGAGTTCTCTTTCGTGTCTTACATTATGAATGATCGTCTTCTACACTTATATACGTGAAATACGTTGTCTTAATTTCTTTGCGTTCAATAGATAGTGATGACTGATTAAGACAAGTCATGCAGTAAAAGAGATGTTGTTTAGACTTTCTTGTTGACAGATAATTAAAGGTAGAGAAGATAACAAAAAACTACAATGAAACTTATTTTGAGACATATAAATGGCAAGTCACACAGTTACATTCTCTATAGCTTTTAAGTATATTTCATTCACTGTCATTCCTTATTATTACTACATTTATTTCTAAAACGTCAAAATGTTTCCTTTAATATTTCACATTTTTGCACACGACTTCCGCGGAATCATAAATCTCTTAACAGTGACTAAACTATAAACGTAACGTATGATGTTACCATGTTTACAACGTTTCACTAAATACTTGTTAGGAAAATCAGGCAAAACTTGCAAAGGCAGGGAATATTTGTATATAAGCTTAGTTATTTTTGTAACAGTTCCGCAATGCTTTTATTATTGTTCTCTTAAAAAAGATATTATGATATAAAATAGTAACAATTCTGTATTCTGTTTCAGGGTGTTTTTTGCATCGTGTTACAAACCGTTTATGCATAAATAAGACAAATTCTTGGATAAACATCTCAGCTTTGTTGCGATCCGGAAAACAGTTTAGGTCTCAACCCGGTACGGAATTAAACCCAATCCGTTGTAGTCTAGAAAGTAGTTCTTTAAAATTTTGAAGTGGCCCAATTTAAGTCATCTCTAGTTAGATTGGTCATAATTAAAGTGTATTTATTGCATGTTTGTAGTTTTTGTGTGTTATATGATGTGTTTAAAAGTTGTTTTTTGTGTATTCTCCAGGAACTCATTTGTTGGCGGAAGGATTAAAGATGTACCACCCACCAGCAGTCAGGAGTTTTCAAAGTGGTGAATTTAAACTGTGTTACAACACAGTGAAGATTTCTGAAAAAAGTAGATGGCTAACCTATTATATTTTGGGCCTCATTTGACTTAAATAGTGTTGATGTTTAAAGTTGAAGACAGTATATAATTCATCAAGAACAGTGGAATCCAGAATTAAGCCTCAAATGTGACTGATTTACTATAGAACAAAGAACACGAAAATTCACCAGGCCGTCACCAAGAGGAGAAATTTGAAAAAATGGGAACTGGTTGATGGATATGGATGAAACTTTGCATTAGTGTTGTGTTTATGCATAGAAATCAGGAAAATAAAGGATAACTGACAGGTTTGAAAATTTTAAATTTTATTTCAAATTTTAAATTTTGACATTTTAAATTGGGACAGATGTTGTTATTGTTATCTCCCCTTCAAATGTAGATGTCTGCTACTGTGTCAGTAAGTGCAGAAGAAGGGTACAGAGCTTTTGCATGAAGGATTAACCACATTTTATTGAATTAAAACTGTAAAAATGAATTTAAAATTAAAAAATGAAATATAAATTTTGTTTAAAGCAGTTAATAAGTTGATAAATTTTATTTTTTGCACCCTGTGTTTAGCAATTTACATAGTTCTATAGCTTATTTTCATAAGATTTATATAGAAAATGATAAGTTTTAGAGAAATGCATCTTAAATTATGGATAAACCATGCATTGCATGGCATTGGGGAGTGCATGTTTTTTTTAGGCTGGTTACATTGGCAAAAAAGTGATTGGCAAGCTCATTCCAGAGGTCTTAGGGGCCCAAGAAGCACCGGCCATGGGATTCGAACAAGCACCATAGTAGCCTATTGCTCATATGGACCACGCATTATATGCACTGATGTTTCAGCAAAGTATTGATGCTGTAGTAATCAGATTGTAAATATTCACTATTGTCTTGTATTTCAATGAAGCAGAACTGACAATTGAACAGGACAAATGTGATTTACATGTTGGAAATATAGGCATTTTCAGTGTAGTGAAACTTGATGTTTTGCTGTGCTGCAGAATGTATTTGCTAATATATACATACAAAAGATTTTCTAGTCATTAAACAGTGAGTTTATGGATAATTGGCTCATTTAGAATAACACAGTTGGTGTGATTGTTGTTGTTGTTGTAGCAGCTGCTACAGCAGTTAAATTAGGTTAGGTTTATAATGTCTAAACTGTTATTTCCATGCAGGCATGCATTTTTAAGCACACAATATTTAAGCCTTCCTGTGTGAATTAGCAAATCAAGCCATTGATTAATTAAGAAATTATTTTCTTTCTTTTTTGGATATCAGAATAACAGCATAAATGCCTCTTATAATTTCCTTCGACATGTACTAGTGTTGCATATTTTTTCAGACCATGCAGTTACCAAAGCCGGGGTTTGAGTACAGCCTACCTTACCTTATACTGGTTAAGATCTATGGAAGAACTCTTTCAGCTCAGTTTGGCAGCAGATTTGTCAGGACAAGTTGAGAAGGTAATAACTTATGTCTAGTTTGTCACTTCAGCTATTGACGGCAACGACTCCCAATGCTCGGGCAATATTTGGTAGATATTTTGATGTATATCAGGAGAAAATTTCTCTTATTTTGACTATTTTAACACTTCTCAATGATTTAAAGTGGGAGACAGTATGTGCCATCATTTTTTAGCCTTATTTGTGTGAGAGTTGGCTAATCTTACTTTGTCAGAAGACATAGCCCATGGCGATATAGTAAACTCTTTGCTAAACTTAAGATTTCCTCTGTTTGTCTTTATTGATATCTTAAGCAAACAATATAGGGTATATATCTTGGTACTTTACTTTATTTACCATGGAATATAGGTAAAAATCATAATCAGTAAGTTTTATTGCAATGTTGAAGGAAAAAGTTATGAAAAAAGCACATTTAATTGTGATTACATGTATTTTAACCCAAAATTTCATGCTCTCATTAAAATAAATGGAGTTTATATTACAATTTTAAAGCAATAAGGGCTTATTCTTTCATAAAAATAACTAAATGACATTAGCCGGTAACATCAAACTTTATTTGAAGAAAATCCATTGGCAAAACAAAAGATATGACAGAATTTGTGATATAAATTTTTGCGTAAAATTCTATTGGCCGAGGCTGATTTTTCGCATGAATTTTTATATTTAAGAAATTGTACTGCATTAATGTAATTTGTTAGAGACATGTCAAACCTATATGAATGTACTTGTATAACACTAAATTACTAGGAAATGAGTATAAATTTTGGCTAAACTTAAGTTTTGGATTCATTTAGGTCTCAACCCGGTACGGAATTAGACCGAACCCATTGTAGTCTAGAAAGTAGTTCTTTAAAATTTTGAAGTGGCCCAATTTAAGTCATCTCTAGTTAGATTGGTCATAATTAAAGTGTATTTATTGCATGTTTGTAGTTTTTGTGTGTTATATGATGTGTTTAAAAGTTGTTTTTTGTGTATTCTCCAGGAACTCATTTGTTGGCGGAAGGATTAAAGATGTACCACCCACCAGCAGTCAGGAGTTTTCAAAGTGGTGAATTTAAACTGTGTTACAACACAGTGAAGATTTCTGAAAAAAGTAGATGGCTAACCTATTATATTTTGGGCCTCATTTGACTTAAATAGTGTTGATGTTTAAAGTTGAAAACAGTATATAATTCATCAAGAACAGTGGAATCCAGAATTAAGCCTCAAATGTGACTGATTTACTATAGAACAAAGAACACGAAATTTCACCAGGCCGTCACCTTTAATGTATCGAGATTATGGTATCATGATGTTTATACATATACATGTACATGTATATGTGTAAGTGAAAACAAGGTACACTATGGAATTGGCAAGATCTTCAAACAAACATAGGTTACTTTTTAACAACACTAAAAGTCTTGGCAAAAAGCATATTATGAAAATTAAGTAAGAGTCTGAAACACATATGACTTCTACATGTGATCATTATTATTTTTCTAAATGTTTACATGTATTTATTTATTATTTATTCATTAATGTTTTTCGTTTGTTTGTATTGTTGTTTGTTTGATTGTTGTTGCTTTTTTTAAAAAAATTTATACGTTTCAATTTCCTCATACTTTTGATCTATCGAAAATACATAGAGGATATTTGTTTGTTTGTGTGTGTGTAAGATAAAGTTTTATCTCATCGAGTGGGCTTTAAAAACAGTATTATACTGTTTTTAAAGTTCACGAGATGAAATAAATTTACATCTTGTACAACAAACTTAATATTAACTTTAATATTAAAATCTGTTATTCCAATTGGTAGCCTCATTTTAGCAATAGTCTTGGGCTAAAAAATAAGTTCGACAAACAACATTAAATGGCGGAGATATTATTCAATTATTTTATTTAAAAAACATGAATAATCGCTTGTTTTAATAATAAAAACAAACAATTCTTGTAGAAGAAAAAGTCTCACCATCCGACCTTATTTCCGTTACTTACAGCGAATTTATATTAGACCTGGCTTTGTGAAATGTAAGCAGCCGCCATTTTTAAAAATTGTGCATTTCATCGGAGGAAAATAATTGTGTTTAATTCAGAGGGATATCATTTTGATTTGTTAGTCATAAACCATTTTAGAAGAAAAATAACTTATTTGAGGATTGTAGCAGACAATAAATAAGTGTTTGCAGACGTGTAAACATTCAAAAAGCGGCTAGGAAATTGGAAAACATGGAATTGTTGAAAGGCTGCCTTACGAACGCTGGGTTGTTTTTTACTTTTTCTTTGGGCTGATGGCTGTCATTGCTTTTCAAGTTTTCTTATAGAATACGGCAGTTATTGCTCGTAGTATACTTAGATATGCCGAAAATGTCATCAAGAGCAGTTTTGCATGTGGAAGGAATGTATTTTTCAGACTGTAAAAATGAAGCAAAAAAAATAAGAGACGATATTTGGTGATTAGTACTTTGAATGAATAGAAGTATGTTTTCTTCTTTTCATTATTTTTGACATTTAAGTTATTTATCAATTTCAGCTTTGCTTTTCTTTAAACAGCCCTGACATTGTCAGAATTGTCAGCAAAAATAAAATTGATGTACCACATTGATAAAAATCTTAAAAAAATTAGTTTCGTCATTGAAAAGTGTGAAATTATATTTTGATAATTTTCACCGTGAAAGTATCAAATATAATTTTCACGAATAAATCAGTAATCCATCAAGAAGCAGAAGATAAAATGTCCTCGTTTAATCTTTTCCTTTTTCAAAGTGTTATTATATTAATAGACTCGTATTCTTAATATTGATTATCTATATTCATTTCATTTTAATTGACATAAGGCAATTCAAAGATCACCGTCCAAGGGAATGATTCAATGAAGTTGTCAATTATCATTGTAAATATCGTTATTGCACCTCAATAAGAAAATTGTTGGATGTCCGCATGGAAGGTTTAACATGAGTAAAATGAGTTACTTAATAAGTTGTTTAATAAGAGAAAAGCTGAAAGGACTTTATGTAATAGAAATGCTTCGGATTGAAATGATTTACTTAAAATACTATATACGGGAATAAAGGAATCCTATATTTTCTTGTAGCTGTGTTATTAATTGTACATATTAAAATATTGAAAGTTGATGTATTACAGGATTAGTTCATAATATTTTTTTTTCAAGATATTAACTTTAATATATTATACTTGACTTTGAATATTGTTGTCAATATTTGCAATTAATGTTATAATTTATGAATTTATGTCTATGATTCATGCGGCAGATTTTAAAGTAAGAAGCATCTAGACATGAACAAAGCTGGTGGCCTTTTGAAACGTAAAGAACACAAATATTCTACTTCCATTTTCAAAATCCAAATGATAGTTTAATAGTTTTAAAGAAATCATCAATGACTCTCAGATATGCATTAAACTATCAATGAAAATTAGATTTATTTGTAAGCAAATTATTCACATAAATTTTCATAGGAAAATGTATACATGTATACGGTTTTTAAAAGTCTTTATCCTTTATCTTTTGAAAATGATTAATGACTTTAACTGACAAAACTTTCATCTCATGAAGAATATATTTTTATCATTAATCAAAACTTTTGAATCATACAAGTTTTTAGGCGCAACTTAAAAAGTTGAGTTCTGACAGGATCAAACGTTTGATATTTCTCTAATCATTGCAAAATAGAAAAAGACAAAAAATGTTTGAAATTGCGTTTCATGAAGAACATAGATAACTCATCATACAAGGTAGAAGTTCTGAAATGTCTGAATCTGGCAAATAAATTCTTAATCAATGAAATATTGTGTTAAGGTAAAATAAGGTTATAAATTTTCTGCTGCGACATATTTTTGATCTTGAAAATTAACCAATAACTGTTAAGCATCAATTATATATGGTGTTGTTGTTGTTGTTTCTTTTGTGCGAGTGTTTTTGAATGGCTAGCTTTTAAATGCGGTGTGATAGGATCGTTCCGATGATAACATTGATGTTCGTGAACTACTTGCATTAAAGGAGCCCCAGTACCATTGCAGTATAATGTTAGGAAAGGCAAAGCCTATTACTGTTTTCTTGATAATATGTATTAAACGTTTTACAATATTGGGATAAATAGAGCGATTTGGAACAAATTTCAAACAAGTTATAGATCTGTAGACTATTTTAGTCTCTGATTTTTCCTCAGAAATCTTATCTGTTGTTAATATATAATGTAACGAGAGTAAGGTGAAAATAAAATATTTTTTTTCATTGGATACTTTTTAGAAAATTAATATGTAACATTAAAATTAATGTTATTTAATATTTTTTCATTTAAAAAAATTCCTCGGATAGCTGCTGGATTCGACAATTACCACTGGAATATTTTTACAATCATTAGCCTCTTTGACGAATTACAATATATTACAACAATTGCTGTCTGTGAAGTCAAATAAATTCTTATCAAATACTGATCATGCAATAACTAAAGAATTTAAATTATTTTTGGTTATATTAACTTAATTATTAATTTTATTTTTCTTTTCTTCAAAATATACTTTTAGATATTTTATTATTATTATAATAGTTATCATTATCATACTTTAAATTTAGTCATGTTATTTGTACAAAAAGTAAATCTTAGTAGATACATTTACTTAACATACATTGCTGTCGTATCCATGGGTCGTCTAACAACGGTCAAAGACGTTTATTCAAGCCGCGTATTTCTAACATTTCACTAGCTCATTAGTATACTTTTATCAAGATGACATCGCCGATTGCAATAAGTCAATCGTCTTATTATGCTTTCAAACCCCTAGAACATGGTTCTACGGTGCTATACAGGTACATTTGCAGTATTATTTAATCTTGGGGCCACAACTGATTATCTTGAGGCCTCAAAATATCATTTGTAGCCTCAACATATTATCTTGTTGGCACAATCAGTTATCTCGAGGCCACAATATATATTATCTTGAGGCCACAAGATATTATCTGGAGGCCACAAGATAGTCAATTGTGGTCACAAACTTAAAATAGGTACTGCATATGTCACCTCTATTCCAACGTATTGTTTCAGTAGTTTGCTTGCCATATTCTACTGTCGTTCTATATCTGTAGACCTGTTGAAATCTTAAATCTAAACGACTGGATTGTTCCAGGGTAGCATTTTATTAAAATATTGGCAGCACAATAAGGCAATTCAGACGTTTTTTATTTATTCTTGGTACATTTGTTATGTTCATAAATTGAATAAAGGCGTTGGAAGATGGTCATTAAAACGTTACCATGGCATCCGTTTTTGTTGCCTTTTTTTAAAATTTGTTTTACAAAAGATAATGCATTTGTTTTATTCATTACAATTCATATACATCTCATCTTGTGTAACAAACATTTCTTGATTCATGTTTTGATTAGAAATTTTCGGATGGATTAAGAGCTCATCTTTGTTTTATTTCTATTTTTCTTTAAAAACAAAAATGCTTTTAGTCATTAACTTAGTAACGATGACATTTTGTTTTCAGCAAATGGTACGGAGGTTAATGTTTAGTTAAACTCACAATATTAAGACATCTACATTGGCTGGAAACCATATTCGATTAAATTTCGTACGTACAGCGGCTTGATTTTGAAACATGCAATTTTTATGAAAAAAATTAATTTGAATCGCATTTTTTCACTTCATTTGGCATTGACTTGTATGTTTAGAAAAAAAGAAGCATAATCAAATCTAATTAACATATTGAGTCGGTTACATGTATGCGATTAGTTGACTTTGAACCACTTGAAATTTGTCACTCACCGCTAATTTCGAATCCCTCAGGAACTTCAAATTATTTCATGAGAGGAAGATATCCAGCCAGCTTGTTGTGCCTGAAATATTATATGGAGGGACACCTGAGGTTTTCCTTCATTAGTAAAAGCTGGAAAGTCTTTATATTTGTGCGACGTAAAACCCAACAGACCAACCATGGCATGGTAGCTTAAAACCCCGTAAAATTATTGCGAAAACATTGCCACATGTAACTGAAAGTGACACAATCTTAAGAAGTTGCACATATAGTGCAAAATAATAAGTATTGTTTAGACTGTCATCTATTAATTACTGAAACCGACTGACATTCATTAAGAAAGTGAAAACTTTATTAGCGAAAACAATCATGGTTCATTTATTCTAAAATGACTTTGTCTGCACGATCAAACTTTAGATGATAATGAAGTGTTATCAAGGACAAGAGTACAAACATCTGCCAGAGTGCGTTTTTGCGTTTTTGGCGCATTATTTTCGGCCATGACGCAAT